CTTCTCTCCTTCCCCCTCCATCCCACCATGTGGCCCACATCTTCCTCACCATGACTACCGCAGGGGTCCCTCACCCAGTTCCCCCAGCAGCTTGGCTGTGTCCACTCCACCCTCCACTCTGTAGCCAGGTCATTCTACTCGTCTACTTAAAGCCTCAAGGAACTCTCTGCTGGCCTGTGGCCACACCACCGCTCCTGGGTCTCCCTTCTATTCTCTAATAACATCTGATGGCCTGGGATGGAGGGCGGCCCCTTCCCTCACTTCCTCATGAATTTGCATGGGGTCTTCCAGGAGAGGGTCTGGTGGTCTGGGGCCTGTCTGTCCATTTGTCCATCTTCTCTCTCCCTTTGTTCTCTTCTCCACCCCTCCGTAAGGCCCAGGGAGCTGGGGTGGGCCCCAGATTCTTGCTGTGGCTGAGAAGGTGTCCTTGTGCGGAAGGGAAAGAGACCGGCTCTGGCCTTAGGCGAGGCTGCCAGAAGCCGCCTTGGTGTGCAGGGTGGAAAGTGAACTTTTCAGCCATTGTCCAGAGACTCAGTTCTGCAGGGAGGGGTGGGCGTGCAGGGGTTAGGCCTTTGAGGAAGTGGCTGAGACATTCCTGTTTTGGGAGCTAATTGGTGGCAGAGGGATGGATGAGATGGCAGAAGCTGCCGCAGCTTTAGGGAACTGAGGGAGCAATGAAAATGAGGCTAGGTCCCTGAGGCATCAGGAAGGGTCACTCATCGTGGTCCCCATGCCCTCACATTCTGACTCTCTTTCTAACCACGGCCCGAGTGGGAGGAGGGAGGCCCCATGGGCCAGGCAGGAGGGGCTGGGGGCAGGGGAGGCCACATTCCTGGAGTGTTAATGATCTCTGGGCTGGGTAGGAGCTGAGCCCCCAAACCAGCTAAAAACAACAAACAGCTCCCAGGAGGGATTTGTGTCTGTCCTGAGAGTCAAGGATTTCCGCCCCGATGGAGGCTGTGGCCTGTGGAGCGCTTAGCAAAGAAATTCCCCAGGGACCAGAAGCCCCTGGCCCAGAGGTATCACTTTGAGAACAGCCCCCTCCCTGTCCCTTTCTCTCCTCACTCTCTAATGGTGAGGGGCCCAGCGCCCAGGAGGGGAGGCAGGCCCTCCCCCACACCCCTGGGATGGGAAGAGAGGAGTCTGGGCGCATTCCTGCTCCAGCTCTCCATCCTTACAACAGTCCAGGGAGTGAAGCTGTTCTTGGTATTTTACAGGTAAGGACACCAAGGCTCAGTTAGAGATGGTGTCAATAAAGGTCTGACCAAATTGACGGGTGAATAAAGGAAGCATCTGACTACAAGTCCCAGTCACGCTAGGCCAAGCTGCGGCTGGAACTGGGGTCTGTCTGACCCCAACCATGATGGCTTTCCAGCTCCCTGCCCCCTTCTCTCTGCAGGGAACTTGGGGGGCTGCCTGGAAGAAGAGGAACCATTGCTATCAGGAGGTGGCCGAGTCTCAGCCACAAGGGATAGTGGAGGAGTTAAGAAGAGGAAGAGGTCCCAAAGCTGGTACCAAGCACACTGCAGCCATGAGGCACCTTTCCACTTGGGTCGAATCTTCCCTCCCTAGGAGGCCTCTCTCGGCCCCAGGTGGTCCAGGAATGACGCCCTCCGGCCTCCTAGCCCCATGGATATAAACAGTATGGGAACCTACCACGTCTTATTTACCCACGTTCCTTGTGGGCAGGCACCTTAGTGGGTGCTCAATAACGGCTCTGTAAGGGGAGTCCTGCAGAGTTTTACCTCTGTGCCCTCACATGGTCTCCATCCTTTCCTCTGGGCCTCCCACCTGGCCCCATCGAGCCTGGAACCTGGGTCTGCACCTTCCTTGGGGGCCTTTCCACAAAATCCTCAGGCAGACCTTCCCTTTCCCACTGGGTTCCATACACCACCCCCTCTTCCCACCCACAATTCACAAAGCCACACCCTGATGCTTTAAATCCCTTATTTATTGCCCAAAGCTTATTAGTATTACATAAATCACATAGATTGAGAAATTTTCTGAGAAGGTTAAAAAGACACTGCAAAGGCCCCTGGGAGTGGCTGAGGCTTGCATGCTGGGGCCCCACTATCACTGGTCCAGGCTTGAAGACCATCCCGGGTCTGTGCACCAGCCTTTCTCCTCCTCTAGGCTCCTGCCCTTCTCCCAGGTGAGAGGCCAGAATGCGAAACAAGTCAGCTCATAACCAGGAAGTGAAAGGAGTCTGTCGGCCAGCTTGACTCCATGGCCAGCTTGACATCTTGGGGTTCTGGTCCCTGCACCTTCACATTACTGTCTGGAAATGGAAGAAGGGCATCCCCAAGCCTGAGGGAATGTTTGACGTGACCAGAGGAGGGCCGGGCAGGGACACCAGGGCTGGAGAACCACTGCAGGTGTGGCCTGTGCTCTGGCACAGCTGGCCAGCCCCACCTGCCCTGACTGTGGTTCCGGGCTCAGCCTCCGTCCCAGGCATGAACCAATCTACCCCTCAGGCCTCCCTTCCTTGGGCCTCAGCAAAGTGGGACATGGGTGCTGGGTGAAGGTTTCCCCTCGCAGGGCCTTCCAAAGCCAGACCAGGGCCTAGCGGCACGGCCCACTGTCTCTCTGTCACCCTCACCCTGGGCTATCTAGATCCTCTGTCACTCTACCGCCACAGGAGCCGACCCCTCGGCTCACCTGAAACTGCATTTGCGAGCATGATGGGAATCATTGGGGAGACGAAACAAGTAAGTTATGAGATGCTGAGGCCACAGGCTGGGCCAGGGCACCCATCTCTGCCGGGCCTCTCTGGCAAGGGGAGGGCAGGGGGGTGGTTAGGCAGTTTTGGTCTCAAGATAAAGTGCACAAGACGACGACTCTATGATAGGTAGGGGCAGGGTGAGCTTAAAGTGAGCTTTTCAAAAGAGGACCCAGACATGCCAGTCCCTAGTCCAGGCCTAGAGACTGGCACAGCACAGCAGTCATTGGCATATTCACATGATGGTGGGACTGGCTCAAAAAAGCCTGCCTCTCCAACACCATGGCACCCCCCCATTCCCCAGTGCTTTGTCCTCCAGGCTTGTCTAAGCCTCTCCCTCTCCTCACAGGCAGCAGGTGGGCTGCTCCTCAAGAGAGTGGCAGGCCCCTCAGGGCAATGCGCTGCAGAGCCAGCTGTGGGAACCAGGGGCTGGCAGAGAGGCAACTGCAATGCCCAAGGAAGACCTGCCTCAGCACACTTACTAAGATGCTGCCCTGTGCCAGCCTTTTCCTACACATGCATGTTCGTCTCTGGCCCAAATCTCCCCTGAGGTGGAGTTCCCAGGGGAGGGAGGCAGGGGCTGCAGGTGGAGGCTTACTTTCTAGGTGGGGTCAGGAGAGGGCTGCACTGGGGCCGGTACTTCCCCTTGGTTTGGGCCTTTCAGATGAGGGATCACCTGCTCACACCCACCCCAGGCTCTGCTTCCCTCTGTAGAGCTTGCTCTTCCTTCCTGGCCAGCAAATGGGAAGGAGATGGGAGCTGGCAGCAAGGGGCCTCTGAGACTGCAGGAGTGAGAGGCGACACCATCAGGCCCAGGCATCTGTGTTGCCTCCTCCTCCAGAACTGTAAAATGTTTGGCAAAGGTCAAGTGCTCCCGGGATATGGGGTCACATACAGAAGGCAAGGTCCAGGTTCTGAGGCCAATTGCTGGTCCACAGGGGCCTGCCCCCTTCCCAGTCCAGTGTCCACATTGGGGACGTGCCCAGGATAACCAGCATCTAGGCACGACAGGTAAAGACAAGGTCTTGCTGGAGGAGCCAGTGGGAACCCATTGATCCAGTCTTGGTTTCAGACAGGGAGCGGAGGCTCAGAGAAGGAACTGAGTTTGTCCGACATCACAATGCCATTTAAGGCCAGAGCCAGGCCCAGCTGTTCCTGGGTTGATGCTGCTTCTCTGATAGGTATCTAAGGAGCTGGCCTAGGCGTTCTCAGGCATGAGACCTTCCTGCTTAGAAAGGGATGGGATGGGGCAGGCAGCTTTGGTGGCTGGAGAAGCTCCACAGAAGGCAGCAAGCCCAGTTCCAGCCCCACTCTCAGCCCCAGTGCCCAGTGTCCAGCCTGGGGCCTGGAAGGAGGATCTTCTCAAAGAGGTCAAGTGCAGATCCACAGTTCCTGCCAAGCACCATTCCTTCTCTGGGTTTCTTGCCTGGAGCTGGGGTCACCTCAGGGGCCCTGAATCAGAGCTCCATGAATGGGGACCCTAGCTCCAGGGTCGCTGGGCTTCACTCAGAGGTGCTGGTTCTGCAGCTCTGGAATGGACACGGGCTGGCTACATTCAGAGCCAGCTGCCCACACAATCGTGCAGAGGCCTCCAGTGCTCCCTGATTCCCTGAACCACTTCCTTAGGACCTTCGTCATGGCTAGCTCATCCCGTGGGGTGCAGACCTCCTTCTCTCCCCTCCCCATGCCAGCCTGGGGAGCCATCTGGGCTGGCCACTGTAATATGCTAAATTTACCAGCCTGGCCACCAAACCACTCCAGCTCTAGGCCTAATCTGGCTCCCCCCGTCACCTGTCCTCCTGCCATTTCTGGTCAGCTGAAACTAAGGCTCAGATTTGATTCTGATAAAAAATAAAAATAAAAAAGAAACCAAAGGTATAAAAGGATTCTAATTCTACCCCATGGGCACGCTACGATTTTTCAGCTTCTCACATAATTGTGCTGAGTGGAGTTTTGACAACTCCACGTAAGGCCCAGAAATGCACTTGATTATGCTTTGTAGGAAATGTGTTAGAACTCCTCTCCCCTATGTTAAATGTGAATGGGTCAGTCTCCCTCCACCGCAGGCTGAGCACTCTCCCGGGCCCGGGACTGCTGGGGTTGGCATGCGGCTCCCCGCAGGTGCAGGCTGAGTCTCTGGCCCTGCCCCTCAGCTCCCCAGCTGCACAGTGCTCCGTCCCCAGGCCGCTGACCACACTCACAGCCCCTTGTTGTATACCACTGTCCGGCTGCTTGTGGCCTGGGCTATCTCCGGCTCTAATTGGGACGTTTCAATCTGTGGAGAGAGAACAGAGAGGAAAAGTGGGTGAGTGGGAAGGCACAAATAGCAGGGCTGGGAGCTGCAGTGAGGACCACCCTGGGGCCCAGAGCTCTGTCCCTCTGCACCCCCCATGTCTGTCCCAGCCAGGGCTCATGTGCCCTACCTAGTGACACATCTTCCTTCTCCACCGCCCTTCTACCATGGGGGTCACAGCACCCCTTCCAGCCCAGACCTGGCCTCTTTCTTCTGATGGCATGTCCACGTGGACATCCTACATGCTGGCCTCTGAGTTCTGCATCTCCCTCACCTCCAAGAACCAAGTCTGCCAAACTACAGACCCACCACAGCCCTGCCCAGGGCCATCCCCTGGACCTGATGACCACCCAGGGCTGCTCCACCTCAACTCCTTCCATCCAAACCCCACCCTCCTAGGTTCTTCAGCCTCTGTCCTTCCTGCACCCCACTCACTCCTGCTTTTGTTTCCAGCCCACTAGACCTCAGGGCCCACACTCCCACCACTCAGTCTTTACATCTTCCCCACCCCTGCAACATGGACTCTGGGGGCCATCCCTTGAGCTACTCCCTAGCCCAAGGGTTCCTCCCACTCTGCTGGCAGAAGCCCTGCTTTGGAGAATCCCACCATGGACCCTGCTCCTACACTTGAACCTGACCATGTAATGGAGACCTTCAAAATTCCGTTTTTGACTTTGGCTGGACCCTCACTCATGGCCAACAACCACCCCACCCCGGCCCTCATAGCCAGGTCAACTCCCTCACCCACTCTCAGAGGCCACTGGACATCTGCTCTGCTGTCCTCTCCTCGGCCACCTTACCCACCCTGTTCCCACTCATCCTCGGTAGGTGAGACATCCTCTTAGAGAAAAAGCTGAAGGTGTCAGAGGGGAACCCCTCAGCTTCCTGTCATCAAACCCGCTGCCTCCCGTGTCCATGCACGGCTTCCCACCTGCCCCACAGCTGCCATCCCTCCCTTCACAGGACAGAAGCCCACCTGGCTCCCCGTCCCCTGCCCACCCCAGGACCCCCTCCTGGGTCATACTCCCTCTCTCCCACCTTTGCCTGTTAGTGTTCCAAACACAGGAAGCTTCCCTGATGGCACCTCCCCTTCACCCTGAGGCAGGCCCAGCTACTACCTGGTATCTCTCCTCCCCAGCAGCCACGTTTCTTTAAAAAACTGTCTACAATGGCTGTGTCCACCTCCTTCCCTCCCACTGACTTTTCAACCCACAGTAAATCTGGCTTCTGTTCTCACCACACTCCAGAAAAATCTCTCCAAGGTCACTGCCACCTCCCATTTCACGACACCCACTGCATGCTCCTGTGGGTCCTGGGGACTTGGCCTGGCTGGGCCCTCTTCTCTGCACATGTCCCAGGTTACCCCACACCAGAGTTCTCCAGCCTTGTTTCTCCCTGGAGCCTCAGGTTCACAGCTGCCTGCCTGCCAGACTTTGCTGTGGACGTCTCACAGGAACCGGAACTCAACCCACCTGAAATGGAACCAAACCCGCCTCTCCCCTGGCCCCACCCAGCCCCCCATCTCGGGAATGACACGGCCATCCAGTGAGTGGTGCTCTGGCCAAAGGCTCTGGAGGCTCTTTGGGTCCTCTCCCCTGCCCTTCCCACAAGGTCTCACCCAGCCCAGCCCATCCCCCACCACAACCAGTGCCGGCCTTCTAAACTGCAAGTCTGCCCCTGCCTCTGCACTGTGAAATGGCTCTGTGTCACCCTGATCCTCAGGGATCAAGTCAGATCCCCGCGCCACCCTGCCCCTTGGACTGGAGACAAAGGGTGCATGGACTGATTTTGGTTCATCACACGCCCTGGGCTGCGTCTGCAACTCTGGTCTTTGCCTGAGTTGTCCAGAGACGCCTCCTCCTACTTCCATTCCTGCCCCTACTCCGCTCTCCCATCTTCAGCTCACCATCTTGCATGTCTCAGCTTTAGCCACCTTTCCTCCCCCAGGCTGGGTGTGGCCACCTCTGTGGCCCCCACAGCTCCCGGAACTTCTCCCATCCTGGCTTCTCCACGTTAGATCACAAGCTCCCTGAGGCAGCAGATGTGTGGATCTGGCTCACCACTTCGTCTTCAAAGCCTGGCACAATGCTGCTACACAGTAGGTGCTCCCTCATTGTGGAATATGCGGGCAAAAGGAAAAGAGGCAGTAGGCACTGGAAGACGGGGTCCCCCTGGAGACACCACATCAGCCCCGAGATCGGGCTTCAGCTCATGCCTGAGCCCCTAGCTTGAGGGGGGCCGGTGAGGAAGACACTCCTACAGTGAGAAGGTCCTCGCTGGACATTTGCCCTGGACACAGTCAAGGAGGCACCAGGCCTCTTGAAACTTAGGTTGGTTGAACTTGGTTCTAGGCACCCGCCATATGTCAAGATGTGGCAACCCTGGGAAGTGGGCAGAAGGTGGCACAGACCAGTCTGGACTTCAGAGAGCTCTGTCATACCCGGGCTGTGCACAGCAGAGTCCACGCAGACAGGGAGTGTGGTGAGGACTAGAGCTGGTGGGCAAAGTGGGAGAAGGGGGACCCTTCCTCTGTAGTCCCTGGTACCCCATTGTTCAAGTCTGGTCACCCGAGATGGCCAGACAGAGGAGAGCTAGGTTGAGGGCCCAGGCCTCTTCCCCACCCCCTCTCCTCAAAACACCTTCTCCTACCCTACCCCTGCCACCCCCAGTCCCCTCTACCCCGCCAGCTCCCCTCGTCCCCACGCTGCCACTGACACAATGCACAGCGCCCACGCTTAAAAATCTAAATGCTTTTGAAAATGTTTAACCTAGTTAGACAAATTAGCAAAAATTTGTGCAAAACAATTTAGGTATTTAAAATATTCAATGTTTTTAAAAAACTGGAAAACTGTTCTTAGCTTTCAGCTGCAAAAACCAACAAAATATAACATCCCAGCAATCTTACCATGAGGTGTAACATAACCCTTCGGGAAAGCTGTTAAACAGCTACTGAGGCATCCTGGGAAATAGCACTTCATTTATTCAAATGCACATATGTCAGGCTTTTGCACCATATGTCATTCCAAGCTATTTACAGTAATAATTAAATCTTAATCAACGTTTAACCTCTGTAAAATGTTTGAAGAATCCTAATCACCCTTCAGACTGCACTAATGAAGGAGAAATATATAAACATAAAAGGAAAATGATGCATAGATATCACGCTGGAAAGAACAGTAATTGCAAAATTGTATTTCTTTTAAATATAATCAGTAAATGATGTAAAGTAAGCCAAGGAGTATTTTAAGTTAAGACATCTTGGATGTCAGAGGTGTGAGCAGCTAATTTTGTTCTGCTACCCATAACAGATGTAGCATATTTTATTTTAGTGCCATTATTAGCAACTTCCCATGCCGGCTTTCACTGAAGCACTGAGGCCCACATTAAAATCGGAGAGGCTGCTCAGCACCACCGGGGAGGACCACAGCCCAGGGCCACGGCCCACTGTGCCACTCCCTAGAGCACATTGGCCCTGGGGAGACTAAGGCCACCTCCTCTTGGCACCCCGTCTCCCCTGGGCTCCCTGCCACACTGAGGGCAGCAGGTAGGAGCAGGGGGAAACACAGGCAGTGGGAAGGCTCCTGGGGGAGGTGGCCGAGGGATCAGGAGTCGGGGCCCGGGGACAGACCTGGCATCCTAGGCTTCCTCTCTCATTTCAAGTCAATTCACTCTCATGTCAGCAGATGTTGATGGTCGCCAACTCCAGATACCCAGGCTGGGCATACAGAGAGCTCACACCCTCGAGAAGCTTACAGTCTAGAGAGGAGTTGGCTGGTGAAAGCAGATGGAGTCCAGAGAGACAAGCAGAGTGCCATGGCAACTGGGGAGGGGCTGGGCATTCCAGTGTATTGATGAAGGAACAAGGAAGGAAGACTTCTCAGAGGAGGTGGGCCAGGAAGAAAATGAAGGATTTTGATCAGAAAGGGCAGACCAAGCTTGCTGGGTGAAGAAAAAAGTATTAGCGGGCTAACACAGCCCGTTTCTGGGAGGCGGGTCAATGTTGGACGTGGAAATATGGCAGGAAATGGAGGTGTGGCTGGGACAGGCAGAATCTTGTAGTCTACATGAAGGTGTCCGCATTTTATCTGAGGGCAATAGGGAGCCACAGAAGGATTGTGAGCAGGAGTGGGCCATACCCAGACTCCCATTTTTATTTTTTTCTTGAGCTAGAATCTCACTGTCACCCAGGCTGAAGTAGTGTGACTGCAGCTCACTGCAGGCTCGAACTCCTAGGCTGAAGCCATCCTCTTGCCCCAGCTTCCTGAGTAGCTAGGACTATAGGCATGTGCCACTATGCCTGGCTAATTTTTAAATTACTTTAAAATGTTTTAAAGAGACATGGTCTCGCTGTGCTGCCCCAGACTGATATTGAACTCTTGGCCTCAAGTGATCCTCCCACCTCAGCCTTCCAGTGTTGGGATTACAGGGGTTAGCCACTGTGCCTGGCCTTAGACTATCTTAGAAATGTCTTTTTTAGGATGGTGGGTGTGGAGGATGGACTGGAGGGGTAAGGAGGGGGTAGGAAGGCCTCCTGGGTAGCATCTGTGGGAATCAGAGAAGTACCCAGTCCTGCCCTATAATGCTGCCAGTGGGGGCAGACTGGAGGAGCCTTTCTGAAGATGAAATCCACAGGAGTTGATGACCAATTCCACGTGGGGGTGAGAGGGAGGTGTTGAGGATGACTGTGCGTTGGATGACTCCTAATTCTAGCTCAGGAGCTGGGGTGGCTGGTGACGCCATTCTCAGAGGGAGGGAATGGGCCAGGGTGGGGGGTGGTAGGCTCAGGGTGGCCACATTGAGTCTGGGGTGTCAGTGGGTTCCGCAGGTGGAGAGGCCTGGGAGGCAGATGGGTCCAGGCTCTGGAGCTCTGGGCAGGAGAGAGCGCCTGGGATGTGTGAGCACAGCCAGAGCCTCCAGAGTGAAGGAGCTGGCCCAGGGAAGAAGACGGAGGGGTGGGTGCCAAGGCCCGGGGAGCAGGCACATTTGAAGGGCAAGAGAAGGAACAAGACTGTGATGGTGGCCTTGGGACACCAGCCCGAGGAGTGGACACAGTGACAGAGGGTGCCACAAACACTGAGCAGCCATGAGCATCAGGCAAACAGTTTTCTGAGTGGTCCCAATAAGGGTTCAGAGGCTTTGGTCTTGGCAACTGGATTTCAGTGATGCCTGAGACCCACATTGCCCGATTCCCCACCCAGTGCTGATCCTGGTTCACAGCCTCTCACTCTACCCCCAGGCCAATTCAACTGGTCATTTGTTAGGACCCCTCCAGCTCTTTGGCCATGGCCAGGTGCGAGGTCGACGGCCACCATCTCTAGGTCTCATGGGTATTGGGACCACTGGGGTCCCCACTGGGCTTGGCTGGGGCAGGAACCCCTGAGTTGCCTGCTGGCCTATACGTGATATTTTCTCCCCTGTCCATCAAGAATTAAGTGTCTCCCTTGAAGAGCACCTCTCTGAGGTTAAGGGTGGGGCCAGGTTTTCTCCAAGGGAACCATATCCAGGGCCTTGCCTGGCAGCGGCCTCTGGACCTGTGGGTAAGTGAAGGTGACACAGGTCTGGGCAAGGACAACAGAGCTTCCCCTCCTGCTGCCCAACTCAGCCCCACCCTAGAAAAGGCCAGAGCCCCAGGGTATTGGGTTGAGGTGCAGGGACTTGGCTGTCCACAAACTGGCTGAGGGGCCTTCTCTGGGAGGGATAAGAAGATGAGGAGAGAGGACAAGGAGTGGCCACAGGGAGAAGGGGTGGCCCAGCCCCAGGCAGCCAGCTTGGGGCAGGGCAGGCTGGAATCTGTAGGCCGTCTTTTCCTTCTGGTAGGCTTCTCCCCGGGCACCTGAGAGCCAGTCAACAGGGGCTCCCAAGGGAGGGGGTGTCTGGGATGGAAAGCCAAAGCCCTGAGGGGCAGGGGCTGCAGGGACCATGGAGCACTGGCTGATGGTCCCTCCCCTCACCACCACAGAAGTGGGCTACCAGGATCACCCCACCCTGCCATGAAGGAAGCAGCGTCACCCTGCTAGCACTCCCTGACTTCCAGGCAGAGCCTGCACACCAGCTCCCAGCCAGCCCCCTTTGGATGTGCCCCTCAATATTGGAGTGCCACCCCACCCTTCCAACCCTGCTGCTCCTCCAGGAGATGTCCCCAGATATGCAGCATCCTGTCCAGCATCTCCCCAGCCTCCCTGGGCACCCCAAGGCCCAGCTAGAAGAGCCAACCACCTTCCCTTGTGGCGTGGGAAGGGTTAACCTTGAGCTATTTGTCTCTGTCTCATGACTTAGTGTGGGTGGGGGGCTAGAGTCAGGAATGCGTTTGGGGCCACCTCTGCCTCTACAGCCTGGGAGCACACACACCTGCAGCCAGGCCAGCGGATAGTTTACATATTTGAACCTGGAGCTAAGGTGCAGAGACATAAACAGGAAACTGGATCCCCTGCCTGTGCCCCATTCTCAGGGGCTTTTACCTACTACAAAGAGCTTCCTCCTGGTCTTTCTTCTGGTGGCTTTTCTGCCTCCTTTTCAAAGGCATGGGGCTAGGGGGATGGGGTGTTCAGTGAGACCCTGTGACACAGCTCAAAGCCACCACCTGCTCCTGGCCAGAGGTCTGGGCTTCTGAGGGTCAGGAGGAGGTGGCGACATTGACACAGGGCCCAAAGCCCAGGTGGGCACCTGCCTGACCCTGTATGCCTGAGGCTTCTGCCAGGCCTGGGACTGCCTTGTCCACTGGGCACAACATCCCACCCTTTCTCACCAGGGCTGTGTGTATGGGACACACACAACCAGGTCCCACCTTTAGGAAAGCTATCTGAGTGTCCCTGGGGGCCAGAGGCATTAGGCTGGCAATGGGGAGCAGCTGAGGCCTGAGCCTAGACCCCTGGACCCCTGAGTCAGGCTCTGGTGCTGGCTCTAGGCTCCCAATACCTTCTTAGTGAAAGACCCCTCAGCTGGACACTCCAGGCCTTCTCGAACTTTCTCCAGTTTCTTCACCCATCAGCTGCTATCCATTTCCTGTACATTCTAAGTCTAGCTTTGAGGCCTGAGTCCAGGCTATATCCTGACCCTCTAAGGCTGCCTCCTCCAGGAAGCCTCCCCTGATCTTCTTAGACCAAATCCATTGCTGCTGCCTCTAGTGTCCCCAGCACATGCTTTTATCTCCATCCCATCCCCAGGCACAGGCTCATTTGCATTCTACAGAGGTGTGACTACAGTAGTCACCCCACCCTGAGCTGCTCCAGGCAGCTTGGTATCCCTGTGCCTTGTACACAGTAGGTCCTCAGTAACAGCTGAGTTAAATGACACTGAAGTGCCTCACGGGCGAGAATCCTGTCTTACACTTTTCCGCCTCCCCTGTGCTATGTGTACCCAGCCTATGTTCAGACCACACCCCACCCCCTACCATTTTGGAGCTTTGCACCATTCCTGGGTGCCCTCTGGTGGACCAATCTCAGAATCATTTTCTGTCCCCTGTCTTCTTAGCTTTGAGGCCTCAGTTTCCCCACATGTATGCTGGGAAGATTTTCTAAGATCTCCTGGGCCCAGGATGAGGATGGTATCACAAAATGGACAGGCTGGCCCTTTGGAGGCTTAGAAACCTGTGTGATGCTGTGTAAAGAGGGCAGAACCCCAGGTCTCCACACTCAGCCCCAGTCCTGCTCACTCAGCTTGCAGGGCTGAGCCTTGCTGCGGGCCAGGCATGTTCCACTTTGAACATATTAATGCCTTTAATGGAACCTCTGCACAACCAACCCTTCTCCCTCCATCCTGGATTCAGGTGGTATCCTAGAAGGTCCTGGAAAGGAAAACAAGCGGGGAAAGGCTGTCAGGCAGCCCAGCCGAGGCCTGCCATCCAGGCATGTGTGCATGTTCCTTCGTGCACGCTTATGTGTGCGAGCCTGTGTGTGCACGCAGGTTTGGGGTGGGGGTGTGGGGAACAGGCAACATGACAGGTGGCGTTGGCGTTCCTGGGCTCCGAGCGGCTTTGCCATTCCCATCCATCCCTCCTGGGGGGTCCTGTGGGCAAACTCCAAGAAAGCAGCGGGCGGGGAGGCAGCAGATTTCTGATGGCAAAAATAGCCCACTTTAGAGTTCAGTAGGGACTGATTAAACCAGTAAACGAGAAAAACCCCAAACAAACATCTCCAAGCAAAGTAGGAGATGGATTTGAGACTGGAGGGGAGGAGGCCCCTGCTCTGGGAGATGCTGAATGCTGCTTTGGACTCGAGAGAACACAATGTCCCCTAGACATTGTCTCTGGCCTCACATCAACCCTGGAAGAGTGGGAGAAGCAGGAACCAACAAAGTCATAGTGAACCCAGATGAGCCACACTCTGTACTTGGTATTGATAAAGAGTACCAGTTCTTAGCTACAGGAACACCTTATGTGTCAAGGAAGGGAGAAAGGTCTATTGTCCCAAGGGGGAAGATGCAAACCAGAAAACACACCACCAGAGCCTACACAGGTGAGGGGAGACAGATCCTGGTGGGGAAGATCAGGGAGGACTTCCTGGAGGAGGCGCCATTTCTAGAACAGCTTGAACATGGACTCACATTCCAGCTTATTCCCAACTCTTCCCTACTCTTGGTTGGGGGTCCAAATATTTTCTCCGAGAAAGGGAGATAAACTGGGGGGAAATCTTTGCTTCTGGTTACTCTTCTCCATTTTTGGTTGAGGGTCCAAATACATTCTCAGAGAAAGGGAGATAAGAAGGGGGGACCTTTGCTTCTGGTGGCTCACAGCAGTCTAACCAGGCTGGTTCATCAGAACTGCCATTTTCATCAGGGCTGGTAAGAGGGTGGAGATAGTGGAGGTTTGGGTACCCACATTTTTGCCCATAAGGGAGGGTGTGCCTCTCTGTTTCTTAACCCTGACAGCTGTATGTGGGGATGCAGGAAGGAGTAAGGTGTGGCTGGGCTTGGCCCTCCTGACTCATCTACCACATGGGTGTGGTTGGTCTCTAAGAGCCACCCTCTGTGGCCAGGTTGGGACATGGCTCATAAATGGCGCTAAGAACACAGGGAAGGCTTTAGCCTTCCTCAGAACATGGCTTCTAATCCCTAGAACCCTCTAGAGCTGACGTGATGAGGGGCTCAGCGCAGAGGCAGGGGCCTGGGGAGTTCCCAGGGCTGACATGGGAGGCTCAGAGCAGGAAGCCCTGGCCCTGGGGGTCTCTTAGGATGACTTTTCTTCTAGTCAAGGCACTTGGCAAAAGCTAGAAGGGGCAGGAGCAGGTGGCGGGGGTGTAGGGGGAGGCTGGTTCTCCCCTGAGGCCTCAGGGAAGGCAGAGGCCAACAAATCAACAAAGACAACCAGGAGGGAACAGGCCCACAGGAAACAAGCCTCCTGGCCAGTGAGCCTCACTCCTGCCCCTGGGGGGGCCCTGCAACAGCTGAGGTAGGGAAGAGACACACGCTCATGGCCTCCAGCCCCTATGAGGGTGGCCCAGGGCCCTCTACCCTGCCTGGAGCCCCAGCCCCCAGGGGGCACACTGCCCAATCTCTCTCATCCCCCACCTCAGCCCCCACAGCTGCAGGGAGGACAAAGGAGCCAGTGAGGGTCTAGGGGCCATTAGATGAGTTCTCGGGAAGGCCAAGGTCCTGCCCACTTGCCAGGCCCAGCCCCGGAGGGTGGCTCCCAGAGGGCACACCCTTGCTGCAGGCCGGGCACCTGAGGGGCAGCACGTGACTTAAATGGACTCACTCAGCCCACTGTACAGCACCAGGGCCCGGTCTCGAGTTTTCAATTTCCTGATCTTCCTGGGAGAAACTCAGTTCTTACAGGAAGAAACTGAGTTCCAATACCTCATCTTCCAGCTGGGGAAACTGAGGTCTTTGAGGTTAAGACCCAAGGTCATACAGAGAGTTGAGGCAGAGGGATGCCAGCCAGAGAGACAGGGGGCAGGCCTTGGGGCCACAAGATGGCCCCTCCACCCCAACATCACCTAGGGACGGGGTCCAGCCCCTGGCTGCCCCCCACTCCACACGCCTCACTCATCCACAGACAAGCCCCACCTTCTGTGGACACATTTCAGCCTCACCAAATCAGCTAATTATTGACAGTTGGTGAAGAGGAGATTTCACTTTTTCCTCCTGTTAAACTGCTCCTAATTAGTTCCCTGTCACCACGGCTGGCTCGCCCGCCCGCCGCCCGCCCGTTCACGCAGTAATCCCGCTGCACAGTGCCTCATTAACCTTTTGCTCCTCTCCTGCCGCCTGCCAACAAGATGAAGACAAAAACAGATTGTTGAACAATGGCTTCGGCTTGTACGTGCAGCCCCGTTCCCCAGCCCCCGAGCTCCCAGGGGAAGAGTGGGGAAAAGAGAGGGGACTGGGGTGGGGGAGAGGCCCAGAGGAATCAAGGAAGGGAGAAAGAGGCACAAAGAAAGATCGAGGCAGAAACAGAGGCAGGGACGTGGGGAGGGGCCTTGGCCAAGGTACTGCTGCCTGCTCCAGAGAGACATGAGGATCATTAAATGGGATTGGAAGTACTCCCAGGTAGGGAATACCGGCTGTCAGAGTCAGAGGGACATTTGCCACGACCCTCTTGTGGTAGCCAAGCCCATATTCCCGGACACTGGACCCTGCAAATCTCCCTCAAGGGATTGAGGCCCCAGTGTATGTCTGTGTTGTGGTGGGGAGGAGAGAGAGGACCCCATTTGCCTGGAATCCAGAGCCCCAACTGCCAATGGGGACAAGGCCAGAAAGGCCACCACAATCTGGCCCTACCACAAGGGAGACATCCACCACCAGCCCCACCTGCAGAGGCTCTGGCAAGCTGCAGTGCAGCCTCGGCTTTAGTTCCATCATGACCTGTGTGGTCACCTGACAGTTCTTGCTTATTGAGTTTTGTCTCCAGCAGGGAGGCTCGCTGAGACCAAAGGGCTCCTAAGTGGCCATTCTTGTAACAAGAAAAAGAGCAAAGTGCCCAGGCTCCATGGGGCAGGGAGCAGATTCTGGGTATGATGGGCCCATCCAAGTTTGGGGACAGGCTGGTGGGGTAGGTTTCCAGATCCACCTCATCCACCAGGACAGACCCTGTACTCCCTGCATGGGCAAGAGCACTGGGGTCCAGAAGGGAACCCAGGTTCTGCTCCCCAGTTCTCACAAGGAGGTTCCCTGCCCCACCTGTTGGCCCTTTAACCTCCCTCCAGTCCCTCCACTGCCCTGCCCCTTCCTCACCTCTGGATTGGAAATGACATAAACACTCTAAAAGGTCCCTGTGAAAACACACAGGTTTCCTGCAGACGGGAGGAGGGCTGGTGAGGGCACTGGGATGTTCCCGCTGATAAATTAGCAGCAAGCAGAGTCTGGGGCCCAGAAGCGGGCCTCTTCTTTCTATAGTAAGGAATGGGTGGGCTGGGGAGGCTCAGACTCCTTCTGCCTGGGTACAAAGCCTGCTCCATCGTCAGCAATTTTGGCTCTTGGACAAGGTCTTATCTTAATGTGCCTCAGTTTCCTCTTTGGTAAACAAGGAATATTGGTACCTACCTTGGAGAACTGTCAGGATATGGGCCCCCATTTCCCCACCATAACCAGCTAGGCCCCTCTACTCACTGGACCTGGGGACTCCACAGAGGCTGTGCCTTTCCACATTGGGCTCTGGGGATTCCTTCCCCATCACTGCCCTCTCTCCAAGCGCCCCCAATCTCCATCTCACAGTTTCTTTGCTGTATTCTCCCACTGTTCCCCATCCCTGAGCTCAATATTCTGAACAAAGAAGAAACTGACTACCATGTTGCCTCCTAGACTGCCCTGTCTAGCTACGGCCACCCAAGTCTCCTCTGCTCCTTCTAGTCCTACTGCACTTACCCACTCTGCAGACAGCCCCTCCTCTTTGAAGCTTCCATGAAGCTACTCCATCTGGGTTCTCCCTGTGCCCTTGGCTGCTTCTTTTCCTTCTTGATGGTTTTTCTTTCTCCTGTAGTTGACCGCATCCCCTTTCTCAGCTTCAGTTTTCCCCTATGCACTGAAGGTTCCATATCTCCAGCCAAAATCTCTCCCCAGAGCCATCTGACTGTTTAGGAATCACCATTTGATGTTCAATGTTTTGGACTTAAAGGGCATTAGGAAGACTTAATACAGTAAGGCATGCCAAGCTCCCAGCACGCTGCCTGGTCCAATAGATACTTGGCAAATAGTAGCCATTATTATTATTTGCAATTTGACCCTCAGTACCATTTTAACAGGCAAAACTACTAATTTGAAAAGAGCAGACAAAACTCTCCCCCAGGAATTGAGGGAAGGATTGAAGTCCTTGCCTCAGTCTCTGGGGTTAGTGAGTTGGAAACCCCATACCAATCACTGCAGGCCACCCACCCATTTTAGGAACTAATTCCTAAATTCTATCTCCGAGTCCCGATTAATTAATTGGTGTTCCAGTGATAACTTCTGTTGACAACCTTGGTGGCTTTTGGCAAGGTTGGGTCAGCCCAAGCAAGCCCAGACTTATTTTGGCAAATCCCACTGGCTTCTGGGACGTGAGACATGATCCCCACATGGCAGAAGAAGCACCTTGTTAGGGAGAATTAATTGGAAGAGTGAACAGGGGAACAAGGTCCTCTCAGCAAGTTGGCTGAAGGTTTTGGTTCCATGGGCCCCAGACAGGCCTCAAGATACCCCATAATGCCCAGGCCAGCCTGCATCTTTTTGGGATCCATGTAGCTGAGGAGGAAGCTCTGAAAATCATGCTTCTATCCTCCCTTCCCAGAGAAGAAAGATTTAATATGCAATGACTATCCTCTTCCCAATCCAGAGAGAGGGGCTTGGATTGCAATAAGAGGGACTTAGGTTAAATACTCAGAAGAACTAACTCCCATGTCTATTCAAGGTAGGCATGGCGGGAGAGGGGAGCCTAGGCTTTGACCTGCAGCAACTGTGAGACCAGGGTGGCTCACTTTCCACCACTGCTTTGCAGCCAGAGCTGGAGGCCTGGTGGGTGAATGGTGGCCATCTCCCCATTATGTGCCCCAGAGGAACACCTGCCAAAGACCTGCAGCACTTCTAGACGCTTCCCACCACAGTGCAGCCCCCAGCTCCCTCTTCTCTTAGCTGTCCCAAGGCAGGCAAGGTGGTTGACTAAGGAGAGAAACAGCCACAGAAAACAATCAGATGTAGCATTTCCCAGGGGCTTGGACTTCGAGTGTGGCCCTCTGGTGTTTCCTCTTGTATGAGTGCCTGGCTTCTGTGACCTTGGGCTGGTACCATGGCTTTTCTGGGCTACCATTTCCCCAGCAAAGCCAGGAGCAAGGTGAATTGGATGACCCTGAAAATCCTTCCAATTGGGAGGGTCTTTAATTCTGTGCCATGCATTTTCTTTGCCCTAGGTCCCTTCTCTGTGCAGGCAGGTGGAGTTATGAGAGCTACTAGAAGCACAGAGGTACATACAAGCACATGGGTGACTCTGGCCCTGGCCTAGGACCCTGGGCTCAGGCTGATTGCACAGACAGATATGGTGGCTTAAGGGAGTGCTGGGTTGGGACAGGGATGCCAGAGACCGCTGAGAAATACCCGCCCTTCCCTCTTCAGGGCTCCTAGGCAACCCAGAGCCCACGGCTCCATTTGGAGTTCCCAGACTGCAGCTTTCCCGGGGTGGGAGGTGGGGGAGGGAGTATCCCAGCATCCATGACAAGGCTGGGCCCTGTGGGTATGAGATGAGGTCCTGCTGGCTTCCATCCTGGTGTGCCTTGAATGGTGTCCCCCAAGACAGGAGCCCCACTCCCACAGAGTCTCCTCCTCAAACTCTGGGGCTCTGGAAGGAAGCCATCCCAGTTCTTGCCTCCCAGGGACACTGGGGCCTAAGGCAGGTTACCCCCTCCTCCTGCTCTAAGTCCTCAAAGCCCCAACACCCCCAGCCTCTTGTTTTCACTTCCCCAACTTCTCTCTCCAGGAGCCCTTACCTCTCCCCACCTCACATGGGGCCCTGACTGAAGCAGGTCCATCCTGAAATCACAGATTCAGAAGCAACTCTCTCTGGCCACAGCCCCTGCCTTCTTGTGAGCTCAGTCAGTGCAGACACCTTCTGGGCCCTCCCCGTCAGCATAGCTCTCACCTTTACTCCAACCCAGCATGGATCCCACGGTCCTTGGCTCCTCCAGGCTGTTGCCTATCTCTGAATCCCTCTTACTCCCAACCTGACAAAACTCCAGCAGAAAGGACCTATGGCCCTCCCTGTATTGGCCCATAGCACCTCCTGGTGAACAGGCCCTGGCCACACCCCCAGACTATGTGTTGCTCAGCCTCCCTCACCTCTCATTCTCCCTCTGGATGTCTCACCCCTTCTCTGTGTCCTCAGACCCCTGACCTTCTGCCCCTTCCACTTCTCTCTGCTCAGTCACAAGAACACAGGAGCCACTGGAACAACTTCTTCAATTTTCCCACCCCTGAACCCCATGCCCAGCGGCATCTTACTCCCACCCCACTCCTCTTCCACCTACTGAAGTAGGGAGGGGTCTCCCCATGCCAAGGCTGATCCCCTAGTCTGTGTTCTGGTTCCCCTTCTTCTTCATGGACTTTCCTCCCCCAGCATCATCCTCTCAGTGTCCTCAGCATCTCTCCTGGTGCCTTCCCTACTGCATTTACACAAGCCCCTGTCTCTCCCATTTAAAACAAGGATAGGCTGGGCACGCTGGCTCACGCCTGTAATCCTAGCACTCTGGGAGGCTGAGACGGGAGGATCACAAGGTCAGGAGTTTGAGACCAGCCTGGCCAAGATGGTGAAACCCCATCTCTACTAAAACTACAAAAATTAGCTAGGCATGGTGGTGGTGCCTGTAATCCCAGCTACTCGGGAGGCTGAGGCAGAGAACTGTTTGAACCTGGGAGGTGGAGGCTGCAGTGAGCCAAGATCGTGCCACTGTACTCCAGGCCTGGGTGACAGAGTGAGACTCTGTCCCGCCCCCCCCCAAAAAAACAAGGACAAATACATAAATAAAAGCCCCTCCTAATCTCACATCTTGTTGCAGCTGTGGACCTGTCTTTCTCATTTTTCCCCTTACCTGTCACCTGGGCCCCCTCTTTGGGGACAGGGTTTGGCTATATCGCCTAAGACACCAATGGATACTCTGTAATCTCATAAAGTGTGACCTCTCGGCAGAGTCTGACCCGTGGATGCCCACCTACCCTGATCACACGTGGTCCGGCTCTGCCCTCAGCCCCTGGCTGCTTGTCCTTCGACCCCAGCAGGGTGGGAGCCTCACCTACCACCCTCACTCACTTCCAGCACCATTCACATGTTGGTATCCTCTACTTCTATCCCTGCAGTCTAAGCCTCTCTCCTCATTCCAGACGCAGTGCCAATATCCCACAGGCTCCTCAACCCCGCGTGTCCATCCAACCAACCTGCTGCCTTGAACCTGAACCTCCCTTGAACCTGACCCCACATGGCTCCATCTCATTAAGCACCTACATCTGTCTGGCTGCTCAAAACCAAAAGCCAGGCGCACATCCAGCCGGCTCCCATTCCCTCCCACCACAGGCAGCTCTTCACCAGATCCTGAAGAAGCCTGTCTCCTGACTCCCTCTTTAGGTGCCCTTCTCTCCATGCCCACTGCCAACAGCCTGGTCCAAGCTGCCATCATGGCTTGCTGGACGCCCACCACAGCCTCCTGATGGTTCCTTCTCCGGAGCTCCAACCCAGCCCCATGCAGCAGCACAGGGGCCGCTCAGAATCAGGAATCTGTGGTCTGCCCTGCACAGCCCTTAGAAGGACATTCACCCTCTCTGTTTCGGCTTCCAGCCTCAGCCCCTCATTCTTGGGCCACGTCACCTTGCAGCACTCCCTGGTCGTGCCGCAGATTTTGGTCAGCTCTTGGACATGGCATGTGCTTCCTCCCCTCAGAATCTTCACACCAGGTGTCCACCAACCTCTTATCTCCCCTCCCATCCCTTTTCATTTGGCCAACTCCAGCCACACTCCCAGTCCCAGTGAAATGTCACTTCCCTCTAGGCTCAGTTTGGTCTGCTGTCTCTTTCCACACCCAGTGGAGCTTCTCCCACCCTAACATTCCCGGCTCCTCATCTGCTGGCCTCTGTTTAATCACCGTGTTGACTGTGTGACCCTCACTCTGAGGGGCAGAGCCTGGGCCAGCCTCATGCACAATTCCAGCCCCAGCACCTAGCAGTGCTAAGGAGTTGGCATGATATGAGTATTCGTTCAGAAATCACCAAACGGTGTTCCCTGCCCTGCCCTTGAGCCCCTCCCCACTGACCTCTGACATCTGCGGGAAGAGGCTGATGGCCAGCGGTAGGGCCAAGCCGAAGGCTGCCAGGCACACGAGGCTTTGCACGGGGAGGAGAAGCCGGGGGCGCGCCTGCAGGAGAGCCGTCCTGTGGGGGAGAGAGGAGGGAGCCCCATGAGACCCCAAGGTGGGGTGGGTCAGCTGCCAGCCACCATGCTGGGTCCCACTCTGTCTCAGGGCCCAGGAAGCGTGGTTCTTGGAGCAGTGCCAGTGTGCAGCTAAATAGACATATCAGTTAGGTCTTTGGGACCTTTCCCAATGGGCACTCCTATCCCAAGGCCCTGCCTTGAAGGGCATGGCTGGCTGAACTCTCAACTACTCAGGTCATGAATGAGCACCTTCGGGGCACCCGCCCACCATGCATCCAGCTCCATGCCAAGAAGGCCCCATGTGGGAGAGATGCTGGGAAAGGCTGTTGGCCCCTGTTCCTGAGGAGATGCATAGGAACCTAAGATCACTCTGAAGGCGGCACGTAATTAAACAACCAACCAACAAAAGTAAGTCCGAAGTTCAGGGGAGATGACAAAGCACATACATGTGGGCATGTGCCAGCCAGGAGAGAGGTGATCTTCCTCTGTGTGTGAGAACAGAAGATACCTACTGGCTACCTCATCCATTTCAACCCAAGGGCCACAGAGGGGGCAGTGACTCGTCCAAGGCCCCAAGTCTGCAAGAGGCCAGCAGAGCTGCTGTCTGGACACCTGACTCCCCAAGGGTGCTGTCACCCCAGCTGGTCTCCTTTGCCAGCTTCATCACCAACACAATACAGCTGGCACCTTCTCCCTATGGCTGGCTTCGGAGCTGGTTTCCAGGGCAGGAGAGGGGGCATTATAAACCTCCCTCCAGGGCCCAGGATCCCCAGACAGAGTGGGGACATACCAACTAGCCAGTGTGCCTGTACCATGTTCCTCGGAGCTTCCTGTTTTGCCTAATACAGAAGGCCCTTCATCGGGGACCGCAGCATTCCGCTTGGGGAGGCCTAGGATGACTAGACTATGTACCGGGGGATGTTAGGCAGGCACTAAATCTGACCTCGGTAACTGGCAGCCTCAAGTGACAGGCTCCTGGTGTGAAGGGGAAACAATGCAGGCTCTTGTCTGCCACCCCCAGCAGGGCTGACCATGGCCACAGGCAGGTAAGGGGCCCTCCTAAGGGCAGAGCCCCAATGTGGGAGGGCAGTAAACCCCATATACCTTGACCTCTTGAGACAAGAATCCCAACAGCACCTGGGCCTGAGAAGGCAGCAAAATTGGGAGTAGTTTTCAAAAGTTAAAGTGTATCAGATGGGCTGGGCAGCAAATTCCCGGGGGCTGCTTGCAACCAAGAAATCCAGATTCAATGGGCATTGGACCTGGAAATGTGCATTTTAATCAACCCTTCATGAGTCTAAAATGGTGATCCCAGATCACACTTCTGACAAACCCTGTCCCTGGATGTTCCTGCTCAGGTATTAATAAAGATCCTATCTGTAATCCCAGCATTTTGGGAGGCCAAGGCGGGCGGATCACCTGAGGTCAGGAGTTCAAGACCAGGCTGGCCAATGTGGTGAAACCTCGCTTCTACTGAAAATACAAAAATTAGCCTGGTGTGGTAGCACACGCCTATAGTCTCAGCTACTCGGGAGGCTGAGGCAGGACAATCTCTTGAACCTGGGAAATGGAGGTTTCAGTGAGCCAAGATCACACCACTGCACTCCAGCCTGGGTGACAAAGCAAGACTCTGCCTAAGAAAATAAATAAATAAAGATCCCATTACTTGCAAATACTATGCAAGCAAAAGGGTGAGTCCTGGCTTGGCATGCAGTAAGTGCTCAGAAACTGCGTGTCATTACTGCTGTTGCTATTGCTCATGCTACCTGCAGGATGGTAGGATCCTGGTAGCCCATCTGTCCTGCGGCCATTCCCACTGGCCCAGACTGCAAGATTTGTCCAGTTGCTAAATTTGGCCTGAATTAAGCAACTGGAAAGGGGAGTTTCCACAGGATTGAGCAGCAAGACCAAGGTGCCTAAATCGAGCTCAAATCCCTCTGATCCCCCTAACCCACAGCTAGCGCCCCCATCCTCTCTCTCTCCTCCATGCTAGCCCATGACAGCCTGGGCTTCCTTAGGGGTCACAGAGGGGCTGCGAATAAGGCTGAGAGGGCCCTGAGATGAACTTCCCAAGCAAGACAAGGAGGAGAGGGGGACACAAAGCTCATTCTCCAAGCTTCATACAGGGCCCAAAGCCCTGCTTGGACGAGGCTGTGGAAGGATGGGGCTGCTCTCCTGTTCCAGTGGCAGTGACTAGAAGGGTGTGGAGTCCCTGTAAGTACAGCTCCAAGGGTCCCTGCTCACAGCCCTGAGAGCAAGGATGGTGAGAAAAAGAAAGAGGGAAGCTCCTCAATGGCAGGTGAACAGCAGGCCATGGGCTCAGTCCTTGGGACCTGCTGGTGGGAACACTGGACAGACCCCTTCCTGCGGGGCTGTGACCAAGGCTCCTTTCTCAGGGTGGCTGACTGAAGTCTTCACTGAGAAAGGGGTCCAGGAAGCCCCAGGCCTGGGCTCCCAGCTCAGGAAGGAGGCAGGCCTGAGGCTGAAACAGGAGCCTCGGAAGCCCCAGCCCAGAGCAGGCCAGAGAGTGAACACAGCAGGACAGGCGGTGAGGAGGGGGGAGGAAAATGGCAAGGAGGGATGGAAAAGCAGCTGGGGGAGTTAAAATATGCAGATGAAGAGATGTGCGAATGCTTGGGAGAAAGCAAACACCCGGAGCCCAGGAAGTAAAGGAAGCTGAGGGAGCGGACTCAGGGCTGTGGCCTGGACCCAGAGCCAACTCAGACCCAGCCTGGTGCCTCTGTTGGCCCCATTCATTTCAGGGACTGGGAGGCTGGGCTGGGTCTGAGCCAGCTAGAGCCCTCCTGATCTAGCACAGGAACCTGTGATTCCAGCCCTGGGTCTAAAACTAGCTTCCTCCCCAACAAGGTTGGTGCGGCAGTGTGAACCCCTGGAACACTCAGGGGAGCTGGAGGGTGGTGGAGAGGGAGGGATGGCACTCGGTGGACTGCAGCCCCAGAGGCAGCCCAGTGCTCTGGGCTGGGGATGGAAGCTCCTCTGCTTCTGACTTGAAATTCTCCTTTCAGTCTCAGAGTCAAGGCCAATTGAGCACGCAGAGCTCCCACCTTTCTCTTCCCAGCAGGAAGCCCAGGGACCTTGGCTCTGAGAGTATCAACTGATGCCAGAGGCAAAGCAACGCAGGTCCCAGCCCCTGGCCCCACACAACAGCTTGTCCCCACCATTGCTGTGCATTCCTTCAGCACTTGGAGCGCAGTTTTAGTTTGCACTCCATTAATTTGCACATAGGCTGCTTTCTAAGTGTTCTTTTGTCTTTTCTCCCTTGGCTGTCCTAACTCCCTCACCCAACAGGGACTCCCCAAAAGAATGGGGGCTGCCTTCCTCATCAGCCTCCTCAGTGGAGGCCCTGCACTTGCACCCAAAGGCTATGGGGTACGTGGTAGGCCCCCAACAAAGAGCCAAAGAACTGCTGGGAGGCGCAAAATGCAAAGCCCCAATGAACAAGGTGATGAAGGGGCAGTGTCCACATTTTCCAGGTGGGAAACTGAGGCTGAGAGAGGCTCCACAACCACATTAGACTGGCAGAAAGAGGTAGAGCAAGAATCTAGATTTTATTTTCCTACCAGAGCCTCAGATCACTCTGCTACATTGCCCTGCCTCTCCTACCACACAGTCCTGCACTTCCAGAGTACATGTGAGAATAGCAAGCCTTCGAGGGCACAAACTGGGTCTTATTCATCTTCATATTCTTGGGGGAAGCTGGGCTGAGCTCTTCTTTTCCCAGGGATCCTCCAAGGAACTCCAGGGAAGGACCAATGAAACACGAGGCTGCCAGGAACACCAAACTGACCTCGCTTCACCTTATCACAGGGGCTCCTTTGGAGCCTGAGATGTGAGAGTACGTGGTACCCCAGAAACTAGACAGGTCCCAGGCTGGGGAGGTTCAGACCCAGAATCATCACCCTACTTCCCATTGATACGGAAGTGGGGAAGGGAAGTGCTGGGAAGAGAAGGGCATGGTCCCTTTAAATGATAGGGAAGCGGGGAAGGGAAGGGTGTGGCCCCTGGCTAGGGCTCCACCCCATGCCTGCGCCCAGGGGTCCAGAGACCTAAGTGGGGACAGGCATTTTTTGTTTTCCTGCACAAATGTTGCATTTCCCAAGACCACCCTGGCCTGCCACACCCTGATCCTGTGCCTAAAAAAAACCCTGAGACCTGGCCAGGTGCAGTGGCTAATGCCTGTAATCCCAGCACTTTGGGAGGCCAAGGCAGGTGGACCACCTGAGGTCAGGAGTTCGAGACCAGCTTAGCCAACACGGTGAAACCCCCGTCTCCACTAAAAATACAAAAATTAGCCAGGCATGGTGGCATGAGCCTGTAGTCCCAGCTACTCAGGAGGCTGAGACAGGAGAATCACTTGAACCCAGGAGGCGGAGGTTTCGGTGAACCAGGATCACGCTACTGCACTCCAGCCTGCGCAACAAAAAGCGAAACTCCGTCTTAAAAAAAAAACAAACCCTGAGACCCTAGCAGGCAGACACACAGGCAGGTAGACATCCAGAAGACCACATCAGTGGAGAAACACACAAGTGGCTGGATGTTGAGAGGACATAGAAGGGAGCATGCCAGCAGAAGAGCACACTGACAGACTCCGGCCACCGACTAGCAGAACAATGCGGAGGTTGGCTGGAGCGGTAGGGAGGAGAGCCTGGGCCGCTGAGCAGCCTGACTCCAGGGGAAAACCAATCTCCCTTCTGGCTCCCCTGTCTGCCGCGAGCTACTTCCACTCAATGAAACCTTGCACTCATTCTCCAAGCCCACGTGTGATCCAATTCTTCTGGGACACCAAGGGAAGAACCCCAGGATAAAGCAAGCCCTCTGTCCTTTCGATAAGGGAGGAGTCTAATTGAGCTAACACAAGCTGCCTATGAATGGCTAAACTAAAAAAGCACCCTGTAACACATGCCCACTGGGGCTTCAGCTGTAAACACTCACCCCTGGACACTGCTGTGGGGGTGGAGCCCCATAACCTGCCCCTCTGTATGCTCCCCTAGAGGTTTGAGCAGTGGGGCACTGAAGAAGCAAGCCATATCCCCATCATACTCCCTTTGAGGGAGACAAGGAAACTTTTCCTGTTTCACCATGACTCCCAAAGCCAAATTCAAGCCCCCAAGCTAATGGGACACTAACCATCATTCCACTTTCTGCAAACATCTCTGCCAACTGGAGAGGCATCGCAGAGCATGTTTTTCCCCAGCAAATTCTTGCAGAAGGACAGGTCCCTGGATGAGCGTGGCTGACCCAGCTTCACACCCTGCCCCCCGCCTTCTTGTCGTTCTCAGGATAGCTGTAGATGTGCTGGGAATACAGCATCTTGAGATAAGGAAGGCCTGTCTGGGACAGCCTGGGCTCATGTTCCCACCTCTTCTGGAACAGGATGTCCTGCAACACTTTAGCAGAGCAAGCCGATGTCCCCCCGGGTGCAAACCCCAGGGTGGAGTGCTTCCAGACTCCCTCAGTTGCAGTGTGATGTGGTACGTGGGTGGAAGAGACTCCATCCTCCCTGGGCAGCTTCCTCAAGCCATGGGGCACCAGTGTGCCATAAGTCTCAGGCGCCCGTTGTCCCTGAAGCCTATCTGTGAGGAATCAAGCTGCTGTGCTTGACTTGTGTGAATATTCTACCTCATTGGACTTGTGGTTCAAGTAACAGAGTGAGCAGTGAACAGAATTCCAAGGTTCAGGGCTCCGCAGTCTCAAGGACAGAACTACCTTCCTCACCTGCCCCACTGGCTCCCTGTGCGTACGTGCAGTCACTGGTATTCAGGGACCTCAGTTCATGAAGGCACTACATATACGAGAGTCAGGGGCACAAAAGAGACCACCCTGTTTTGTCTGCTGCAAACTTCCACACCACAGGAATTTTCTTAATCCCAGTGCTCACCAGGCCATGCCCATGCTCAGGTATCCCCAGAGGCTCTGGGGGATCATCTCAGCTGGGCACACAGGACCCCTCATCAGCTGGCCCCATGAGTGTACTTACCTTTAGCCGGCTGGACACCTCAGTGTCCATGCCACAGGCCTGCACCCTGCCCAGAAAGCTCGCCCTTCCACAAAAATCCTATCCTGCTCTCTGGGTTGGCCACAGGCCCTCTCTGGGGACCAGCCCTCCTTACTGCTGGGCCCACAGTGCTTCCTCTTCTCAAGGTCACCTTGACTGAGTTCACTCACTGCCTACTGTCACCTGCAGCTGACCTGTATACAGGTCTTGCCCATCACCCTTATAAAAACACAGGCTTCCTGAGATCAGACTCCAAATCTACTCCTCCCATTTCCATGGAGGGCAGGACTCAAACACAGGCTAATTGCATGGTGTGACCTGAAGATGCAAGAGGCAGCCAGTGTGGCTTGAAGAGACCAAGCTTTCAGCCATATTCCTGCCACCACTGCTCTGCTATTTCCTAGTAGATGACTGTAAGCGGATGATACAGCCTGTCTTTGCCTTCCTCTCCTCATCTGTAGAATGAGGATATTATACTTACCTTATTATGCTGTCCTGAAGGTGAAATGAGAGAATTCATTCACTCACTCATAGATGCTTACTCAGCATCTACTGTATGCCAGGAACTGTGCTAGATGCTGGGCAGGGCAGTGAACAAAAGGATGGACGTGTCTCATGGAGATGACATTCTAGTAGAGCAGATAGAGAATATGCAACTAGAGGAACAATCTCAGATATGGATAAGGGCCGTAAGAAAAATAAAGGATTACAAGGGAGAGGTAGTAATGAGAAATGGTGACTTCTGATGGGGTAGTCAGGGAGGACCTCTTTGAGGAGGTGGCATTCGGGCAGAAACCTGACTGAGAGAGGACTGGGATATGTAAGTGCTTAACAAATGTCAGTTGTTATAATTCATACTGTGGGAATAAGAAAGTCCCCAAGCAGGGAAGAATCCCTTGCCCCAGAACCCCAGATGGAGTACCCCCATCCCTATCCTTATCCCACACACCCCCAATTCCAGCTGCTATCTTGAGATGTCCCCATGGGGTAGGGTCTCCTTGTTGTCACCTGACCAGCCAGGGGTCTGTGCCTTCAGGCCCCCTCCACCTAGGACCCTCCCCTTGCCTTCTCCCAGGGCCTGCCCTCTCCACGCAACCTTTCCTCCAGCAGCATTTCAGTCTGCCCCTTCAGTTTAGCACTCATTAACTAATAGACTCACTCCATTACTATTATTATGCTCCCTCATTTCTTTACAGTCATGACAGATATGAGTGCTTAGAACATCCCTCTGAGGGAGGCAGGAGGCTATTACTATTTATATTTTGCAGGCAGAAAAACTGAAGCTCAGTAAGGTGGTGATTTGCCCCACAGCGGATACCCACCTGAATCTAGTCTTCCTCCCTGAATCCTCAGCCTCTGCCTTCATAAATGGTCCTGCACTATTCACTGGCACACGTGCATACACACAAACCCCGAACCACCAGCTCCTCAGGGGAGGGCCAGCACTGTCATCCTGGTACCCCTCGTGGCACTTAGCCCAGGGTTCTGAATAGTAAAAGTCCAAGAATTCTCACAGAGTGATTCCGTGGCACCACCTGGAGAGTCCGAGACAGAGCAAGACACCTTCCACCCTCTATACAAACTGGGGCGGGCTTCCTGCTGCCCCCTCATCCCTTGCCTGGGCCAGCTGGTTCTCCCTCCCTCTCCCTCTCCTCCCCCACGGTGGCCCCTCCATCCTGGCTGCCCCAACTCACTTCTCCAGCATGGACATGATGATCGGGGGTAGCACCAGGATGGGCATGGGCAGGACCACTCGAGTCAGCGCCGTCTCCAGCAGGGCCTGAGGGGCAGGCAGAGGCTGTGGTGAGGGGGGCCTGATGGCCGGTAATAGAAAAGCACACCCATATGGAGCCCTAGGTGTGTGCCACCACAATGCACATTTGGCTGAATGGCATTATTCATGGGATTGCTCAGGAAGCCACATTCCAAACATCAAAAAAGCCACTGGCCTTCTTTTTTTCTTTTTTTTGAGAGTCTTGCTCTGGTCCCCAGGCTGGAGTGCAGCGGTGTGATCTCAGCTCACTACAGCCTCCGCCTCCCAGGTTCAAGTGATTCTCCTGTCTCAGCCTCCTGAGTAGCTGGGATTACAGGTGCATACCACCATGCCTGGCTAATTTTTGTATTTTAGTAGGGATGGGACGGGGTTTCACCATGTTGGTCAGGCTGGTCTAGAACCTCTGACCTCAGGTGATCCACCCACCTCAGCATCCAAAGTGTTGGGGTTACAGGCGTGAGCCACCGCATCCAGGCTCCACTGGTCTTACCACACACATTTGAGAAGAGCAGATTCCCATCACTTGCCACATGTGGGGGACACCCTAGCACCCCAGGAATGGGCAGTGCTCAGGGAGGTAGTTGAGCACCTTGTGGGTGGCAAGAGCAGCCTTCCATGCTCAGTGCGCAAGGGGGCTGGGGAACAGCTTTAAAAACAAGGCCAACACAGACAGCTGGGGCCTGTTGAGCCACTGGGGCTCATGGAGCCAGAGGAGTAAATTCTGGAATTTACTTTCTGTTGTTGTTGTTGAGATGGAGTCTCGCTCTGTCACCCAGGCTGGAGTGCAGTGGTGTGGTCTTGGCTCACTGCAGCCTCTGCCTCCTGGGTTCATGGGATTCGCCTGTTTCAGCCTCCCTAGTAGCTGGGTTTACAGGAATGAGCCACTATACCCAGCTAATTTTTGTATTTTTAGTAGAGATGGGGTTTCACCATGTTGGCCAGGCTGGTCTCGAACTCCTCACCTCAGGTGATCTGCCCACCTCAGCCTCCCAAAGTCCTGGGATTACAGGCATGAGCCTCGTATTTATTTATTTTTTAAACATATTTTAAAGACAAAGATTTGCAAGATCTTGTGTCTCTTGGCTATGGATGAGTTTCTCAGTGACAAGAGGTGGGATCTATAAGGGAGGTACTCTTCAGTTGCATGTTTGCAGGGTTTCCCTCGGGGTGTGCCTAGGGCTTTGCTCCAGGGGCTCCCAAGGGATTGTTGGTGGGGGGGGTTGTCCCTGGCCATAGCACAGCTCAGTGGCGATTCTGAGCTCCAACAGCCATTGTGGTGAGTTCCTTTAGCCCAGGAGCGCCAGTCCTCAGAGGAGGCTCCAGGAACAGCTCACAGCCCACAGACGCCTGGAGTCCCTCCCTAGACAGCAAAGAACTAAGCAAGCCAGGCTGAAGAGAGCCCAGCCGCTTGGGTTTCCTTGTTGTATGACACTGAGAAGAGTTATCATGGCTGTCCTCCCTCACAGGCACTGGGGAAAAGTACAGGACTGGGATAGGAAGGTAGAAAACTGAGACTAAATCCCCTCTGCTGATGGGCTCAGGGATGAACATTTCTCCCAGGAACCTAGGCTCTTTATGGTCAGCCTCAGGAAGGCCTGGGAGAGGCCCCTCCAGTCTCTGGAACAGGTTTGGGAATGATACGAGGGTCCAGTGCCAGTGCAGGCAGCAGAGGACGCCATGTGGACATAATACCCTCAGCCCCTTGTCCTAAAAACCCTGGAGGGGCACTGACTTGGACAGAACTCTTCCCAGACCAAAGTCTGAATAAAAAGGCCTCATGACTGGGGTAGGGCTTGGGGGCCCTCATGGGAGCTGATGAGTACAGTGGCTGGAGCAGGAGTGCATGCTCCACCACTTCATGGCTCACCCCCAACCCCCATCCTGTCCCATACCCAGCATAGAGGCCAGAGCCCAGGGCAGCAGGACAAGCCACTAACCATCATCTGGACAAAAGCTGGGAAAGGAGAGGGGGATGTACACATGGGCTGCATTTTCTTTTTTTTTTTTGAAATGAAGTTTCAGTCTTTCGCCCAGGATGGAGTGCAGTGGTGGGATCCTGGCTTAATGTAACCTCTGTCCTCCTGGTTCAAGCAATTCTCCTGCCTATGCCTCTCTAGTAGCTGGGATTATAGGCACCCACCATCATACCTGGATAATTTTTGGATTTTTAGTAGAGATGGGGTTTTGCAATGTTAGCCAGGCTGGTCTCAAACTCCTGACCTGAGGTGACCACCCGCCTTGGCCTCCCAAAGTGCTAAGATTACAGGTGTGAGCCACCATGCCTGGCCTGTGTTTTCATTTTTTTGAACTGCAATTGCTAGAGTGGTGGAGCCTATGTAAGCAGGGGTAAAAGAGGGTCTTGTAACAAAATATTCTCTAAACCTCTTCAAGCCTCAAATCCCTGGATCTCACGGCACTCGGTCCCCGGTAAGCTCTCACCTGCAGAAGTGCCTATTAACCCAGAACCATAAGCCACTGGCCTCCTAGGCTTCCTTGGCTTACCCAAGAGGATGGGAAGGCCCTGGGAGGCAGGGCCCTGGGCAGAGGGAGAGGGAAGAGAGCTCTGGGAGAGTCTCCTCTGCCCTCACCAATTAACACCTCCTCTGGGTGAGACAAGCAAGAAGCTGGGTCCTGAGGGGCTGAGACAAGAGATAGGGACTTTTCACAGCAGTGAGGGCATGTCCAGGGGAACAGGCTGGAAGCCAGAGGCCCGAACTCATGCAGACTGGAGGTGGGGGCGGGGTGAGGAGGAGACATCAAGAGGCGAAAACCAGGGTACTCTGGAGAGAAGCCTGTGGAAGACACATGCTAAGGGAAAACCACTCCCCTCCCTGTTGCTGGCCTCCCCAACCCTGCAAGCCCCCAGACCCACGTGTCTGGCTGCAATCTTGGAGGAGCCCACGAGGTTGCCATCACTGTCCAGGACATCAATCCCTTCCTCCAGCTCCCCGTACCGCATCAGGACCACATTGCAGATATTGGCACTGGCTGCAGAGAGAGGGGGTGCAGAGAGCAGGATGAGGAGGAGGATGGCATTCCACTTGGAGGGAGGTCACTGTGCTCCTCCCTAGCCAAGCCATGGGGCTCTGCGTTCAAATGCATGGGAAAAGGTTGGGGAAGGGGGGGTTCTGTTGTCCATCTGCCTATTAGCCTGGCAAGGGATCTGGGGGTCCTTGGGAACCTGGGCTCAGGGATTGGCCACTTATCCAGGGGCTGCTTTCCTCTCCTCTGGGGCAGACCCCCTAGGCAGGCCAAGTGGGTGTCCATCTGGGAGGGGTCTCTGGCCTGAAGCCGCATTCCCCCACCGACCCAGGCCTGATGTTCCACCATCACTGGGGACCTTGGGCTGCCCCATCCTCTTGAATTATCCATCCCACATTCAGCCCCCTCTGTCTCTGAGTGAATCAGTTTCCCAGAAATTTGCCTACCCTGATGGCAGATGTCAGAGAGGCAGAAACCTCAGTGTTCACCCAGCACCACCCCCTCATCATATGGATGGAACACTGAGGCTCAGAGAAGAGGAGTGACTTATCTGAGGTCACACAGCAGAGTGGGACAGAGCAGAAAGGCTACAGTGCCTATGCCTCCTGAATACTCATGGGGCAGGAGGGTTAGGGCGGAGGTGGTGGGCTGAGTTAAAGGAAGACCGTCTTCTCCATTCTTGCTTCCTATGGTTGAGTTCCTACCTTTGGCTAGGCCCCTATGCCCTCTGAGATCTTGGGGACCTGGGCTAAGGGGAGGATTCCTGGTTCCATAGTGAAGTACTGGTTGCTGAAGTCTGGGGCCACCCATCAGCTGGTGACTAGCTCAGGGAGCCTCCTTCTGCTCCCCTAGCCTGAGACTCACATGACTGGGCAGGATCCGTGGCCCAGTGCAGTGTGGGTGCTGACCCTGCCTGAACTCTCCCAGCCTTGCTTCAGGATGGTAGTGGGGGAACCTGGGAGGGGTGGGCAGGTGGGGAGTGGGGGGTGACAAATTCGGAGCCTGCCTGCCTCACTCCTCCCCCCAAAGCGCCTTGCTGTGTTTAAAGTTTTAATTTTTGCTAATTAATGTCAATTAATTTTGTATAATGAGTGTTTAATTTTGGGGAGTGTGTGAGCCTGGGAGCGACTGCAGTTCTGGGCTGTGAACGCTGATTAGCATCAACACCTGCTGCTTCCCCCTCCCTCCAGTGGGGGGAGGCACCAGGGTTTGGGGAGCTGGAGGGTGGCAGGGCCTGGTGGGCAGGCGGAGTGGGAGGGAGACCACAGATGCTCCTGGGGCCTGAGCCAACAAGCGGTCCAGGGTGCTCACAGCTGGGGGACAAGGTTCTGTGGGTGAGGTGTGGCTTGAGAACCTGGGGGCCTCAGTCACCTGTTTCATTAAAATGGGGAGGTGGAATAAACAGGGCAAGACCGAAAGGCTCTGCAGTCTTTGGAGAAGAAAAGCAGGAGGCCAAACACAGTTCTAAAATGTATTTACAGCACACGCCATCTTCAAGCATCACTCCTGCTTCCACCAACGTTCAGCGCAGTGGGAACCACAGGCAGTCCCTCTGCGGCCCAGGGTTTCCTGCCCCACAACAGGCATGCTCACCTGCTCTAAACAGCTGTTCTCCACCAGGGGTGGATTTGCGGGGCATTTGGCCACATCTGAGGGCATTTTCAGTGATTGCAATCTGGGGGTTGGGGGTTGCTGCAGGCATCTGGTGAGTAGAGGCCAGGGATCTGCTAAACATCCCGAAAGGCACAGGACAGTCTCCTCACTAAAGGATCATGTGGCCCCCAAAGGTCAATGGTGCTGACATTGAGAAACCCTCGTTTTTACCACAGGCAGTGAGGGACAGAATTAGGAAGCTGAATCCAAGGTAAAGGAGATCCGGTCAGCAGGGCATGACAGAGAGGGGTTGGGAGCCTGGCTTTGGGGCCATCAGGCTTGGGTTCCAATTCTGGCTCTGTATCTCTCCCCTCTCAGCCCCAGGGCTCAGGGCCCAGAAGGGCCCCTCAGGGTGGCCTTGGGAAGCGGCCACCTGGCCTCTGTGTTAGTGACACACCCTCTAGTGGCCGGAGGGAGGCTATGCACCCCCCATGCCCTTGGGGCTGTCAGGCTCTCGGTTCCCAGGAGACCTAAGAAAACTGTTGAAAAGGATAGTGGGGACTTCTGCCCTGAAAGGCATCAATCCCTGCCCTCTGAGGACCCTGTCCACCATATCACCACCACCACCACCATCACCATTCCAGGAAAGGCAAGCATCCTGCTAAGGTCGGGAGCTACCAGCTCACTCTGGGAACTTGAGCCATTGCCACCCCAACCCCACCTCGGCTTCTCCCAGGATAAAATAAAGGGCAGCATTTAGAGTCTCCATGGGATTTCTGGGTGCTGGCTGAGCTCACACAAAATGTCAGCCTCTGCACCTGTGCCCCTTCCCAGGTCAGGGGAAGCTGGGGATAGCTGAAATGTCTCTAGCCCCCATTTTGGGTGTGTATGCATAGTGGGGACAAAGAGAAGAGAGTGTAGATCTGGAGGTGGCAGTGGACCAGCCCTGGCTCATCGCAGCATCTCCCTCCCTCCCCATAATCCCCAAACGTAAAACATGGGGCAAGCAGGACAGCTTTGGTTCAAACACAAAACCATCGAGAAGAAAAATGAAGCATAAAAGGAAGTGAAAACCCAGCCTCCTTCCCTTCATCCAGCCCCTCCAGGACATCTCTGAAGTTGCCTGGATGGAAAAAAAGACAGAGAAAACCCTAAAAGCCATCTCAGAATGATGGTACCCCCCAGGCTTCTCCCTTGAAACAGCCAGTTCTTACTGCCTCCATAGATGGCACATGACCTGCAAGCAATTCTGTTGACTGTGAAAACTGGTTAGCCATTTATTGAGCACCTGCCGTATGCACAGGCTACCAGCCATCCCTGCCCTTCAGCAATGGGAATGCCAGCCTGTCACATTGATTTCATTTCCATGAGTTCATCTGGATCTTTCAATTCTGCCATATCCTTTTCAAACTGTCCCAGTCCCTCCTATCCCACTCCTGGCAAGTCCAGCTCTTGTGACAGGGACACTGAGAGCCTAAGCAAACGATAGAGAGAGAGAGAGAGAGAGAGAGAGAGAGAGAGAGAGAGAGAGAGAGAGAGAGAGAGAGAGAGAGAGAGAGAGAGAGAACGAGAGCGTGCACAACCCTGGGCCATGGGTCTTCTCTCTAACAAACCAGCAAGATCTATTATTGATGGTATCAGCAGGTTAATTAAGCAGCCTATTAGTGATGATGTTAAGAAATCTGGCACATTTTCAACTCAGATTGACACCACTCAAGACTCAGGCATAACTGATGTTTTAGCAGCAATGTGGGAGATGTCAAGTAATGAAAGAGAAAGAGAAGGAGAGAAAGGCATGACTTCTCCATGATGGCAAGCTCAGTGTTAAGTCCTGAGGAAAATTTGCTCTTGCCTGCTGCAGATGTTTTCACATCCGACCCATTGCGATGCAAAATCATGCAGATTGTGAAAAGCTAATGAAGCACCCAGTGTAAAAGGGGCAGTGTGGGGAAGAAGAAAGAGCAGTAGACAGAAAGACAAATGTGCAAGCAAGTTTTCCGAAAGAAGATCACAGGGGAGCCTGCCCCCTGAACTAGGGCAGGAATAGACAAGCAGATCCATGCAGTACCCTAGTCCTGCAACGCACCCACCTGTCGGGGAAATTAATTGGTGGAGAAACCATTGTATCAACTCACAGGGAAAGGCCCATTTAAACACGGACACATAGCAATAGGCTACTGATTTAGGGAAAACAAACTACTGTTAACTCCTCAATTCTACGATGCACTTTCCCAGATTTTAATGTTTTAAAAAATCATGATGTGCCTCACAATGAAAGTCAGCAGAAAAGGAACCTTACCTGCTACTCAACACAATTGCCTGTACATGTGTGAACTTAGCCATGTGCAGAGCTATCCATTCATTCAAGTGTCACCTCAGCTGACCACAGCAATCCATACAGCATTTGAACTTAAACTTAGATTCCTAATTGTTGCCTAAAACATCTTTCTAAAACTTACACTATAATGGAGCACGGACATGAAAAGTTATTGTACATGCAGAAGATCGTCTGCCAGATACCAGGCAATGCAATTAAAGACAGTAGAAATTGCCAAACCATAGATAGCTACCCTAAAGAAATGCTTGCCCATATGCACAAAGAGACATTTACAAGGATGTTAATTATAGCACTGTTTGTAAGAGCAAATAATTAGAAACAACCTAAATGTCCACCATTAGGGAACTCACATGGGAAGATCTCCAAAACAAACTGTTATGTGAAAAATGCTACTGAGTATGTACATGATGATTTACTGTATGTAAAACCCTGTAATTGGCATATGCACATATATGTGCGCATAAATCCACAGGTAATGTTTTGGAAGGTTCACAGCTCACAGAGTGGTCTGCTTAGGGAAAGGAATTCAATTTGAGAATTAGGGTTTGTTGAAAGACTTCCACTTTTTTACATCAAATTTTTCTATAATATTTAAATTTTTACAGTGAGAATATGTTTCAATTACCCCCCTCCCCCCACAAAAAAAAACCTGCCAAACTTCTTGAAGAAGATCACACAAATTTTAAAGCCAGCAGGGATTGATGTAGCCTAGTCTTGGGTCCCACACTTAGGTACGTACAACATGTCGGCTTCTTAAAGGAGCTGATTAATTTCAGGAATATTTTTTCTTCAAGTAAAGAAAAAAAATGAGACACAAGTATAACCAAATCAGAAATGCAAACACAAAATTCCCAATATTCTTTTATATGCTTTGAAATTATACCATTCATCTTAAATGGGCTAAAGGAGTCAAGATTAGAAGCAGGACTACAAAAAGCAGTGGTGGCCACAATGCTGTGTTTAACAACCAATGCCCAAAAAAGAACAAGAAAATGTGAAGGAGGCTTAGACTCCAACTCTGTTGTACTAAAGAAAGTGACTTGTATTGAATGTGTAAGTGAATGCTGGCTTATTC